CAAGCACCGCACTAGATTTTTTGTTTAATGATTATTCGATTTCATGATAAATGAATAAATTCTATCTGCAATTAATACTTTGATACCAATCTTCATATTTTAATTTATTTCTGTCAAATCAAGAATATAACAAATTACACTCGATGTGTAATAGTGTGGCTTTAAATAAACACTTATATAAAAAATAAACAATATGAATAGCAGCTGCAATACTTATTGTTGTAACACTGTACAAAAGGCCATCAATGGCGGTTTGTTGGTACTACTTAATGCGATCAACAGGTTATATAGCCTGATGGAATATACCCTATAATTGATTCTGTTTGTTGGAACAACCATCAGCCGATCCTACTCCAATAGGTTAGTTACCGCCTGATGGATTAATTATTCTATCCGGTCTAATATACCTAGCAAACTGCATCTGTTTAATAATCCCAAGTAGAGTGCCCTAGTAATAATCTCAGACATATTACATAATCGGCTGCCGAACAATAACCTATGTCAGTCAATGTCAGAAAATTGTTAAACGAGATTAATTTTGGTAGCTTCGTGTTGAATCAAAGAGAAAAAAGTCAATTAAAAAGATTGATAGAATACTTTTCAGGGGTGCCTAGAACAGAGTTTCATGGAGCAAGTTACGCCATCAATATTTTTGAGGGAGCCACATTTTGATGGGGTTTTGAATTTTTGAGGAGGGCACATTCTTTAAATGAAAAGTTTTAAACCAGACGGCAAGGAGAAAACGTGGAACAGGCCGCAGGAAATGTCAATGTATATAATCTACGATTTTTTAAATTATACTTTCGCTTACACTGTTTTAAGAAGAGGGAGGTAATAAAATATCTTGGGAGAAAAGTCTCTGCTTTCATGGATTCTAGCAAGAACTAGTTTAATAGTAAGGTTCTGAAAAATATGAAACAAAACAAAAACAAAACTGAATGAAACAGGTAATGGTAATCTAATTTAAAAGAGGCTAGTAGGTCCGTTCGAAAAATTCGCACAGCATATTGTTTTCAAGTGCCAAATTAATAAGAAAATAAAATAATCCAACGTATCAAAAGATAAAGAAATCAATTGTTACATATAATCGACAAAGGAAACCAAAATTAATTTAAATCTTCTCATTAATGTTTGGAAACAACATGTTTACAAATTTCAATAAGCTGTATCTTTGCTAAATATTTTCCGATTTCGATGATTTTTTTTCCTTTTTGAAGGAACTATCCGGGTCTTGCTGTACGTCTCAAAATCTTCAAGATCCAATTTGTCCCGTATCGATCTACAGACCTACCGCCGCTCTAGTATTGAAACCTAGCAAAATGTTTGTATCGACTTTATTTATTTTAGAAAGAAAAACAAAAGTGGAGAATACGTTCGCTAACCCCCGTGAAATTCTGAATCCAACGGTACTCCATTCATGGTATTTGAGCATGACAGGAGCTTATAAGTGGTACAAAACCGATTTCGAGCCTTATTGTAAGAATATATGTGGGGATAATATTGATGGATTTATGTAACATTATTTCAGAATCTTTGATTAAGAAACAGGACTAAGATTGAGTTAGTAAATTAAACATCGTGCTAAACTGATAGTTATTCAAAAATACTTCCACAGATGTCAATAAACTTCTTTCTTTCAATGGCACTAACAGCCCGATGTGAACTTGCGCCTCCTCAATGAGCCTTCGCCAGGTGGTCAATAAAGTAGTTGGAAAAGGTTATAAGAAGAAGAATACAAGCCAAAAAGATTCACGTCAATTATACTGGAAATTACAGATTATATATATGGAATATTTAGTTACAAGTTGACTCGTATCAATGATTCCTATAGTATATTGGTCGGTTAACAAATGAAAAGTAATATTGAAATATGCCATGCATTATGATAATTGATTTTTTTTTTTTTTTTTTTTTTGGTCGAATTACAATAGTTTATTCATAATAATAAGCCAAAACATGTGTATAAATTACTAAAGGCAAATTACTACCTCTTATAATAATGGTTCGATTCCGATGATTTTTTTTTTCTTTTATTTGTTTTGTTGGAAATTTAGAAACTTTTTATAATAATCATGGATGTAATCCAACATAAACTGTATACTTTTAGAGCAATGCGTAAATAAAGTTCTTTAAGTTTTTACCTGATATTTTCGGGGGATGTGACTATTTTTCCCACCTGAAGGAGAAGATAATGCTCAAAATTATATCTCGATCGTTGGATTAGTTGAAGAATTGACCAAGATATAGCGACAAAAAAGAAAAAAAAAACATTCCTTAGAGAAATAATATATAACAGATAAAAAAAAAAACTACCACTACAACCTATGAAGGATTTTGGGTTCAGTACTTTGTTAGAATGTACTTTTTCAAGGCCAACGATAGTGCAGGGAGGTGATCAGTTCAGGATCACGCTCAACCGCCAGGTTTTTCCTCTTAATCAATTATTTAATAGAGGATACTCAACTTTATAGAGGCTGAGTGAGCACCTGAAGGTTCTCGCGACCTCAGGCTCGATCCACGGCTAAAAAAAAACAGAATAAAAATTACCTGTTATCAGCCGGACTCGAACCCGGAATCTTGAGCATAGCAGTCCAATCCTAACAACTCCGCTCCCATATATAATAGATATCGTAATTCTTATGTCATTATGAATTCGTGGCATCAGGATTCACTATTGCTTTTCTAATAAAAGATAAAAGAAGAAGGGCTCATGCGTTATATAAAAACGGATATATTTTAGGGAATTAAAATGTAGGTCCCAGTATACTTTTATAGTTCAATGTAATTAGTGTTACACGAAACTGCGTAATCGGGAGATTTTATATATTTGTAACGTTATATTTCGGTAGCTGTCCGCTTCTTTTAAATTGTTTAAACAATTCATCTCGTGTCGATCCGTTCGGGATTGAATTTGTCCGTTTTATCCTTTGTTTGTCTCCATATAATGGAAACGTGTTTTTATTTTATTTTAGTTTTGTTTTTCTTAATATCTACCACCATTCTATATATTTATTGAGTAATATAAAATTCTGACACATGGACAGTAATTATAGTGAGTTAAGACTAAAACAGATGCAAAATAACTAAATAATAATCAAAAAGTACATACAAAAAATAAAATAACTTAAAGAAAAGTAAATTTCATAAAAAACACCGACATACCTAAATATATTAGGAAACTTCTAAAATTGAAAAATGGATACACATATTCGCATACTCTAGGATTGTAACTTTATTTCAAATATTCTATTAAAAATAATATTAAATAAATCGCATTAAATTTAAAATTGTATATAACCACCCATTCCATATCGTCAAAACAAATACTAAGTACATTTATCGAATCTGAAAATCACCAATCTAATATCATTATCAATTCAGCTCAAACATCGAGGATGTTTTAATTTCCACACTAATAGGCGTTTTTATAAATGTTTGAAGATTTTTTGAGGGAGTGGTAGGGTGCTAAATTGCCAATGCTCAAGATCCCAGAATCCCGGATCATGGGAGACAAATTATTTATTCTGTGTCGTTGGCAGTGGGACGATCTAGGGTCGGGAGATCCTTTCGTGGCACACCCAGCCCTTATAAAGTGAAAAACCTGGCGGTTGAGCGTGACTCGGTCAAATTATCTCCTTGCACAACAAGCAAGAAACAGTGTTTTCCCTAAACAGTACTGAACCCAAGATCCTTCATAGGTTATAGTGGTACAGGTTTTTGTGTCGATTTTGTATTCTCTCTTTAAAAACATTTAATTACAATTACAATCGCTAGAATGTATATTTCATATTTTCTATATTCCATAGTTAGCATTTGTATCAACAATATGTTAAAATGTCTCGAATCTCACAGCCGTTATACTCTTAAATTAATTAAATTAACTTAAATACATTTGAATTTTTATATGAAATTTGATCAAACTCAAACTACACCTCATATTTAATAAAATTAATAATTAAAAAAAGGGAAAAATAGAAATTTAGTTGTGTATATTATATATATTTTAACACATAAAGGAGAAATTCGATTAATTTTGAGATAGTAAGCGCCCTTGAGTCATAATTTTTTTTTTTCCAATTAGTGATGTGGGTAACTTCGTCGCCTGATCAATATATTAGATAAAACAAAATTGTCAGCATTTACAGTCAAGAATTTTTATTAGGTTAGGTTGGGTCGTCCTCAGGGCTATATTTTATAGAACTCAGTTTTGTGTCGACTCCCAAAAGATAATCCTGAGGATAACATACATTTTTGGGTAAAATCGTTAGCTAACCTAGTAAAAATTCTTGACTGTATCCATATGTGCTTATTTTAGGTGAAAATTTTCTAATATTATAAAATAAAGCTCGGTTAAATTTTTCACCATAGATATTTACAGAGCTACGTTTCGGCCGGTAAGCCATCTTCAAGCCATTTTATTCATGCTTTTTGCATGTAGTCCAAAGCATGGTTGAATAAAATGGCTTGAAGATGGCTTACCGGCCGAAACGTAGCTATGAAAAACTAAAATAAATATGGTGGAAAAATAAACAGAGCCTTATTTTACAATCTTGACATTAAATCCTGACAATTTTGTTTTTTCCAATAAGATTTACGGAAAAGATCCATCTTGAAAAACACAAGATTTTGCAAAGATGTTTTTAATTTGGCCACTTTTTTTCTAAGACTTTTTCTGGGTCCAGGAAATCTCCAAACGAACCTTAATATACTTTGTTCCAAATATCTTCGATTTTTTTTTTCAGAATTTTTAACACGAAATTACGCAATCGGAAAATTTATTCCCTTAAAAACCTGTGTTTCGTCCGACTATGCGTCGAACGGATAGATTTTCTGTTTTCAGATATAACCTCAAATTTTGAGGGGTTTTTTTTTCTTGGTCGATTACAAAAATTCATTATTGAAAATAATAAACCAAAAGTAGCTCTATGCATCGTATCTCTTTAGTAATCGATAGTTCACTTTGTATTGTGATTGTTTACATACAAGTTGACAAGCGGTATGTGAATGATTACTCTGAGTTATTGAATGGGCTTGTGACTTCTTTTATTAAATAACTACAATTTAATCAGAAGCTTAAACAATCAAAGAAAATGGCTATGAACAAATTAATGCATCCTAGAAACCCATACAAAAAGAGGCCTGATTTTAAACAGTTAGCTATTGATTTCCCAGAATTTAGAAAATATGCAAAGCAGGTAACTTTCTTTCTATGACTGGTTGTGAGATTAAATAATACAGTGCAAAAGGTGCTTTAAATATGCATATTTTCAGGATCTTTCAGGAAAAATAAATTTCAATTTTAAGGACCATGGTGCTGTTTGGGCTCTGACAAAATGCTTATTGCAACGTGATTTTGACTTAAATGTCGAAATAGTTCCAGGTCATTTAGTTCCTACTTTACCTTTGAGGTTGAATTATCTTTTATGGATAGAAGATTTACTAGAACTGTATAGGCCTAAGAATGTTATAGGAATAGATATTGGTAAATTTTGAATTGTCATTCTTGTTAAATAATGTATGTTTTTGAGGTTCTTCATGATAATTATTTTGCAGGTACTGGATCTAATTGTATATATCCCCTACTGGCTGCAAAAAAGTTTAATTGGACTATGTTATGTACTGAAATTGATATAGAAAGTACAAAATGTGCTATGCGTAATGTTGAAAATAATTATTTGAGTGACAAAATATCAGGTAATATTATTACAGATTATGAGAATTTAATAAATAAATTGAATGAAATGTTAAATGGCACACCTATGTGTTTTATTTTACTATTCAAATCCTAATAATTAGTTTGTTTACCCAATCTAATCGTTTCTTCTTTATAAGTGACTTGAACATGTTGGGGAGCAATATTACATGACTACACTTACTGTGGAATGTTTAATAGCTAGTGTTGTATTTTTACGGTTGTATTTCAAATTATTTTGTCAATGTTGAATGTCAAATTAAACATTTTTTTTATGATTCTGATCAACAATAATCATGACTACCTGCAACTTTGTCGGATTATTGAGCACAATAACTAAAAATAGCAATAATTGTGAAGCTGGAAAGGTAATTAAAATTATATTGATTAAATAGAGGAAACAAATTACATGTTAAAAATGTAATGTTTTCATTATTTCCTGTTTTTGTTCACTTTATTATTAGAGCACTCGCTTTATAGAGGCCGGGTGTACCTCAGGAAGGTCTCCCGAACCCAGGATTGATCCAAGGCTGATGAAAATTTATCTGTCATCAGCTGGACTCAGGATCTTGAGGATTGGATGTCAGTGCTTACTTACTGAGCTACCCCTTCCTTAATTATATTGATTAAGCCTGGTGGCATAGATCAGAGCATTGTGTTTTCTTAATCTCCAAAACTTACTGATAAGGAGTTATCATACCTATACATAGATAGATAGATAGAAGAATCAACTTTATTCTTGGACTACGTCCCTTGAGAATGACAATATTGTACATAAAATTAAACATTACATCTGGCCAAAATGTATATTACAATAAACAAAAAAAACAACTAAAAAATAAGGGATAACAGAAGTATTTACATAACTGTACAGATATAGGAAGCCATAATATGAGAAATAAGGTCCTAATACTGCAAAATAGTTGCTATACACAATACGCTATGAAATTATAAATGAGCGACAAATAATAATAAAGATGTTATACTAATAGTAGTATGTTCGAAGAACATAATAGTATAATCGAAATACAATAATAGTGTAATCGTACATACACAATATATACACCCAATAATACAATAATAGTGAGAATACAATAATAGTACAATAGTATATATACAATATACATATATTAATATATATATACATATACATACTTTTACTTTCACTGACCTATATATGTAATATATAGTAAAGGAAAGTATTGCGATCGTGAAAATTTTGGAATCTGAGTTTTCAACGGAAATACATGTTTTGAGGTGCCCTTAGCCCAAATAACCAAGTCCCGAAAATGTTCTGTGCGTTTGTATGTTAGCAGTCTAGCTCAAAAACCAAAAGTCCTACGAAACTGATATTACATATTTAAGATAGGCATATGCCTTAGATGTGACGGCAAATTTTTCCTTAAAATCGGCTAACCGGAAGTGCCCCTTTATATCAATGCTGAAACACATTTTCACAATTTTCTCAAAAACAGCTCGAACGATTTTGATTAAACTCGGTGTATCATTGTATAATTAATTGGTCTTTAATATCAATTAGGTCTTATCCCCATTGATGTCACTTTACAGGGCTTAAATGCCCAATGTTCATTTACGTCGTCCTCTAAAGTACCTTTAATATGGTTTATTTTAAATAATTAATTATCTCAAATTATTAAGAGTTAAAAAAATGCTAAATATAACTTTTGAAAGAATTTGATAATTGATTAAAGGACAAAAAAATAAAAATGCTTATCCAGGTCGAAAATGAATCTCCTGAATGAATAATATATCGTTGGAAAGCTGAGAATTTTAGAAAAAAACAATATCTAATATAGAAAGTAATGGAGAGTGGCGAAAAAATTATAAATAATAATTTTTTAAAACTAATATTCTTTAACGTTAATCACATATTTTCAAGAAAATTAAATGAAACTAAATGTAAACTTTTAAATTATTTCTAATTTTGAAAAAGTAGTTGGGTGCACAAGATTTTTTTATTTATGTTTATGCATAAGCTTAAGTACAAGTCTAAAAGCGGTTGTAATCAAGACATAACTCTTCAGTACTACAGTGATTAATAATTATTTAATTTATTAACTTATCCTAATTTTCATATTTTTCTTATATCTACTTATCTACCTTATATGATCTTAGATCATCATGGAATTACTTTGAAAACTGTAACCAAAACTTCTTTTTTATTGGAGAAATATCCCTTAAAACTAAATTGAGATTATATTTAAGGTTTACCTTATTTCTCCAGTTGATTCTGATATTAGGTTGTGCAACTGACCTTGACGATACATGTTCCAATCTTAATGCTTGAAAATTGCAGAACTCCATGGAACTTCTTCGCTGAAATCAATTCATTCATAATTAGTGTGTTGGTCTAATGGACATTCAAAATAACATAACATCATCAAATATTTGCTATGTAATAATTGGAATCCTAATAGTTTTAAATTTTTATTATATGTTTATTATTCATAAATTTTAATACATTATTTAATTTATACTGAAGAGAATAATCTTTTGATTTTATATTTGGATAAAATTGACAAATTACTTATATCTTTCAGTATACTAATTGCATTTAGTTGTAATAAAAAGTAAATGTATGGAGAGCTGTATAATCTCATTCTAACATTTTATTAAAATTGCTCTCAGTTAAAGCGGTTACAGAAGATATCATTCTCGATGGGGCCTTGGAAGAAGATACATTCTATGATTTCTGTATGTGCAATCCTCCATTCTTTGCCGATTCTGAAGAATTATCAATGGAATCAAAATCTAGATCACCTTCAAGGAAGCCACCTAATAATGCTCCATCAGGGGTTCCATCTGAATTAATTACACCTGGAGGAGAATCTGTGTTTATTGCTCGGATTATTGCTGATAGCTGTGTGCTCCAAGAAAGAGTAAGGTTCGAGATCAATTTTCTAAGTAACATAAAACTTCAAGTTCACACATTTCTACAATTGGAATATTAAAATGTTTACTGCCAATTAAAAGATAACTTGTAGCTTGTCTTCTTGCCCAAGGCGCCAACTACAAGCTATCGCATAGTTTGATTTCTTGCCATATTTTTGCACCTATCACCAGATTTGTTGAGCACAATAAATCAAATTTAGCCTACATAAACAGAAACTTTATTCATTATTATAGGTATGTCTGTGAACTAGATAGTTCTTAAAATATTTTATTTAAAAAAAACAAAACATGGTGTATGCTTTTTTAATGATTACAATTTCTATATTTAAAGTTTTAATATTATTAAATTAGCTTTTTATTCTGGAATCTTCAAAATAACTGTGCTAGTCAATGTGTTAAAACAGAAAGTGATTTTGGAATACCTGTTCTGAATAGAAATGGTTATTAAGTAATCGAAACAGCCTGCACCATGCTATCATATCTTATTCATATTTTTTTTTTACTCTTTTAAGTTGGCATGAGGAAGAGAAGTAGCAGCAGTTTTACTAGTTTTGTGCTTATTGAAAAAAAAAAAAGAAATATGGGTCAAGTCTGGAATATGAAGGAGGAATCATTAGGCGCGTATTATGCTTTAGCTTGAAAATTGTTACTTAAAGACACCCAGTAATTTAGGAATTTTTGCCTTGTAACCTTCTCATATAGAACTACTATTGGAATCCTTGGAATAAGTTGTAAATTTCAATAAATATATTTTTATAAATATAAATAACTCTCAAGTAGAGATTTATTTCAAGCAAATGAAAAACATTAATATAAAAAAAATATTAACTTGCTCGCAAGTAGGAAGTTAATTAACTAGATGTCCCAAAGGATTGGATTCAATGAGATTGCAAACATCCTCGTGTGTCCATTTTTTATTCGATTTGGACCTAATTACTTTCAGCGAATTCAATTATTTTTTTTTTAATAATTGAGAGTACACTCCGAGAGCGAGAGGCAAACGTTTACACCAGTGAGGTTGTTTTGCAACTCTTGGAGACCTGCCCCTTTACTTTCGGCGATGACTTATAGAGGACTTTACATTTGGAAATTTTATCCTTGAAAGTATAACTGTCCCTCTGAGAGTAAAACACTTACTCGTGTAAATACATAGGCAAGCTATAGCCTATCACCGATTGGAAAGGTCACCAAATACCATATATTTACCATATTATAGAGTAATTATAATTTGTAATAAGTACAAAGAAGAGGGTGTAACGGCCGAAACGTTATTTAAATAGGAATTTTTGAACGAATAAATATATGTTGGAAAAGTAACGCAGCCTCAATTATTGCAATATAAAATTTTGATTTTAGTTTTGCATTCAAACTTAAGGTAACTGATAAATTTTTCATTATTATATTTTACTTCTTATTGCTTATACTTCCTTATAAAAATTAAACCCTATACAAATATTATTTTTCACTTGAAACTAATAATACTAATTTATTTTAATAGGATATATACTGTAATGGTTGGGAAAAAATCAACTTTGAAACCTTTAAAGGAAATGCTTAGGGAGAATGAAGCATGCAGCATTGCAACTACAATGTTTTGCCAGGGCCGAACAACTAGGTGGGGTCTAGCTTGGACCTTCATACCCGGTTTAGATTTAAACCAGGTGGAAAATTCTCAGAAAAAAAACAAACAGCATTCGTATGTTCCATTTCAGTACAAGATACAGAAAGTAGATGAAAATACGCTTAAATCAGTTCAAGAGAAACTTATCAGTATCTTAAATGATCTGCAGGTAATTATTTTTTTTAATATCTTAATATTTATAATAGTGAAGAAGTGCATTATCTGACAATTATTAAAATAAGTTTGTATGAATATAATAATCAAAATAGCATCTATTTACTAAACTTCGTTATTTAAAAAAAATCTAGTTCACAAAAACTATTACCTCTAAAGACTGAAATATTCATAAATTAGGTTTCAAAGTTGGCATAATTTTTTTCTTTTTTAGTTTTCATTGCCGTACTTCATCTAGCCAGATCATATTGACCTAAAGCATTGCAATCCAAAGTGATTGCTGTATGATAAGTGGGTTGGTAATATTAGATTACTTTAGTGAAAGTGGCAAATCACAATATTCTTGGTTTCTCATGTCAAATATTTGAAACTGGATTAAGCCAACTTTGAAAGTAATAGGCTCAAATTCACAAACCCTCAATTACATTGGACCTGTTTTGGGCTTTTCTTCCATATTTGCTCATAGGAGTTTAAGTATTGTATTGGAGAAAGTATGTAGAAACATTGTATCTAGTCTCTGGAATATCTAAAAGAAATGAAATTCAAGAAATAAAAACAAAGTTGAATGTTGGAAATGCTTATTAATTCTCTATTAATTAACTCACTCTTGGTATTTACCTAAACTTGAATTTAGATTTGTGTAACTATTACACTAACTAGATAATCTGCTCTTTATGGACACAAAACTTTTAATAGTAGCTTCATATTTGCGGTGGCAACCTCAAGGTAGTTGTCAGGGGTAAAAATGTTAAATTTTTGGAATGAGATATAAAAGAATCATTTGAAGGACAATCACAGCACATAAACTCTCTTGGGGTCGACCAAAACATTCAAGACAAAATCAATTTTAAGTAGGTATCTTTAAATTTTTATTTTGTTACTTTGGTTGTTTTAAATAAATTCATTAATTTCAAGATTCTAGTTATTCCATGTATTATTTTACTTTATTTTTTTATTTGATAGACTCACATATACTAGGATTAATTATCCTGGACTTGTGTAAATGAGTAATTTGACTTTTCATCATAAAAGTGATTTCTAAATGTGTGTTGTTTATGCATTGAGTTAAATCCTGTTTCACACTATTGGTTAACCATTTTTATAACAACTTATCAAATATTTGTAAAGTATGAAATATGTTAAAGCACAAATTAGGCATCCACAAACATACCTGATTTGAATCTTTTTAAAAACAGCAAATCCTTGAGATGTATGAAAAAAAAAAAAACCATTCAGGAATAGTCAATATGACTGACTGCCTTCATCCTCATTGTTTGTCAGTAAATTCACCACTAAACTAACATTCACTAATACTCTGACCCACACATGTTATAAAATATATTTGACTAATAATTTGCCACTAGTGAGGAGTCTGAGCAATCCATTTTCTTATCAATAAAAATGGACAAATATTGTGTAAACTGTTAAGTTGAAAGATATTATATATATTTTTTTAATATTTTATTTTCATAATCTATGTTCATGAATAATCTTTCATAATGTCAACTATAATTTAACTGATTATTTATCTATTTTTTCAGATAGAGACTGATTTGGAAGATTGTGGAAATTCATTAATGATGACTTTAAAAGCGTTTGAGAATACGTGGATTAATAGTAGACGAAAGCGTAGAATGGAGAAGAAAAAAGAAGCAGAAATGTCTAACAGTGATAAAACCTCTCAGGAATCAGAGGGAAAGAAAAGTATTGATGACACTTCTTGTAAGTCAGAAGGAACCAATGTGACAGGTAAGACAGAAGAGGACACAAGCAAGTCTTCAAATGGTAATGAACAACAGGCGCATTTGCCAGAAAAACCGAAACTAGAAAATGCCTGCACTCCTGAAATGTCTGGTCAAAAGAGGACAAATCCAGACGAACTTGATGAAAAACACTCTAAACGTCAAAAATTAGAAGAATATTTAGTTGCATCTTTAATGTTAAAAGATAGTGATGAATTAGATGTTATAACATTAGAATTATATTTTATTGAAGGAACTGGCGGTAAGGAAGCTGCTAATCAATTACTCACATATGTTAAAAACAGACTGAAATAAATTTTTGAATATATTTGACTAAATTTGTTATATTCATAAGATGTAAAAATTTCGATCTTAACTTATATTGTAAACTACTATTTTATTAACATTTACTCTTTATTGTTTTATATATGTATATATATATATTTTTTTTTTTTTTTATTGTTATTTAAGTGCCAAAAATCGTTATATTATTATTTGGGGCGCATCAAAGGTATTGGAAATCATTATTTTTTGGATAATGTTTTTGAAGTTAAAACCTTTTTAGACGCTTTTTGCACTATTTTTGTGAAGAGTGAATTAGATTGAGACTTCAGATTCCAATGTGTAATGCTCCGGTAGTCGGCTCGAGTCGATTAATTGAAGTGTTTCTGCGTATGGATTAAAATATCTCAAAAAATAAAAATCGGACCTGCATACTGTAAGCCAGGAAAATATTCATCATTTCATCCTCTTTGTAATAAGCTATTATTCAAAATTGTATCTTTACGTGATGCCATGTTTGAGAGGTGAAAAGGTAAAAAATAATGTAGAAAACCAAATTATAACAAATTTTATTGAAGATACGGATTAAAATATTTCAGACACTAAAAATTGGACCTGTATACTGAAAGCGAGGAAAATGTTCAGCATTTCATTCCCTTTATAATGAACTATTATTTATAATTTATATTTCACATTATTAATCTCTCATTTTTGATGTTTTCACATCTATTGTGTGGTCTAAAGCAGAACTTAGTTTTTGTTTTCTATAGCTATATATTTATATTTTTATTTAGTTGAAATTATTTTCTATAAAATATAAATATTATACTAATTTTGGGTTAAAAAATGATGAGAAGCATGAATAAAAATGAGGCATCCTCTCTTCAGATGTATAATTAAATTATTTTAAGCTGTGGTGATAAGAAGACAATTTTGGTGAAAATTACAATTTATGATTGTTTAGTTAATTTTAAAAACACCTTATATCCCATCAGAATCTTGCAAATTTGAACTTTCTTCAAGCACTTTTAAACTTAATTTTTCATATGTACTTTAATCATGAAAAATATGCATCAACTTTCGTTATTTGATTATTGTAAAAAGTTAAATTAAGGTATAAACTTTTTTTCTGAAAACCTATTTTCACCCAAATAGGAAAGCTTCGCTTCAATAGTCCCTATAATTCCATTGTAACCCGTTGTTGGCCAGACCTTTGGAGGTGAAAAGATGATGTTTTATGAGGATTGCTTCATTTTATCAAAGGATGGATGGCAAAGAGAGTTAAAGGAATCATAGTTTTGAAATCATAATAGATAACAGTCTTTCTGAATAACCGAGTTATTTTTTTAAATATGGGTCGTAAAGGTATTGTACTTAAAGACTTCTAGTGAGTCAATAATGAAAAACAATAACATTTTAATGTGTTTTTTATTACATTTACAAATGTTTTCTTGGTAAGGTGGGAAAAATTGATAAACTACAATATATTGAAAGCATGTTAATAATGTCAATCAGTGAAAACAGCATCTGTTATAGAATCATTAAAACTTTAGGTGTACCTCATCTATTTGTTCAAAGATTTAAACAACCACCAAAGCATCTTTATATATGCATATGTGGTCAAGTCCATACTTAGCAGAAATATTTGTCACCGAATGAATTGTTAGTTAGTAATTATTGATATTTTTATTATAGATACATATGAGAGTCAGGTACCATGTCTGGATTTCAAAAAATCAGTAAAGCTTGAAAACATTCTTATTATCACTTAATATTATTTAAAAACGAAAAAAAAAAATCATGGAGTATTTATTTATTTGAACCCTACCGTGCCATTGAGGCAATACGGGTTTTGCAGAACTGGGTTGTTACACGTCACTGCATAACTAGCTGCTTCTGCAACGTGACCAATGTTTGTATTTAAATTTGTTGTTTATGGCCTTGTTCCAGCGGCCATCCTGGCACGGGTCCTCTTCTTATGAGGTTGAAGTGTGCGGCCAATTGCTTCTTTCCACCTGTACACAAATTCTTTGTAGTACGGGTAGTTTTCCTCTATAACTAGCTGAGGGAAATTAGAGGCGTATTAAAAAATCAAGGAGTAGAATTTTCAAGCAGGCTAATGCAAGAGCTATGGATACTAAACGTAGTCAAGCTTGTTTAACACTTCGTAGGAGGAACTACCTAACAATAAGTATTTATTCTGATGTGATCAACCATCGTTTTGTAAGTAGATAAAGCCTGCCAACTATAGGAATCCTACCCTGGCCTCTAAGTTGTAACAATTTTACAGCTTGAGGCTTAAAATAGTGATATAATCCAGAGAATGACATATTTATTTTAATGGAATGTAAGTATACCATGTTTTCATTTGTATTTCTGTGTATTACTTACAAAATAGTTTTTTAGAAAACTGTACTACAGCTGAATACTTCTGAATAACTTTATTACATTAAATAACTTATAAATCCAGAGGGTGTAACCTGTGGATTTATACTTTACTTATTATTTTTTCTTCTAACTTTTATTCATTTATCCAAAACTATCAGTCACAGGCATTTTCAATCAGCAGACAGGCTGTTATAATAATCAATCAGATGGGAACCAAAATAAATTCTATTATATATATATATATATATTATATCAAATATTAATTTTATAAGCCTTGTCTTACTAGTTTTAGAGAAACTTTAGTTAAATTGGTTACACAGACAGTTTCTTAAATATTCACTTGATTTCTCTTCATTATTGTTTAAAGGTATATACTTAATATATAAAGGATGATTTTTTTTTAGTTTATGAACCAAATGATTATAAAAGCACTATGGCTTATAATTATTCAATTAATATTTAAAGTGTTTTCTTTTATTTTAGAAAGACAAAAACAATACCAAACTTCATAAACATGAATTCATAAATTTAAATTTGAAAAAGATCGTTTTTTCACAACTTATCTATATTATATTACTATGGTCTTGTTTTCTATATATTGGCAATTAATTAACCAATTTCAATGTAATGGTCCTTATTAATCAATATTCAATGGGAATATCATCTTTAGTTATGTAAACATATTTATTACCTGGAAAAGATTTCTCCAAAATCTTCAAACAGATTATAATAAAGATACAATGGCGGAATTTGGCCAAGTAGAAAAAAAATCCTGTTTCCCTCTCAGTGTTTCACGATTTATTTTTTTTTTTTGTTTATATATTATTATTTCATTATAAATAGATGTATATATATTTTTATAAATAAAATTTTCTATTTTTCATTATTATAAATGAAAAAGTTAAATTTATATAGTTTTAGTGAAGGTGCGTTTATACACTTCACAAACTATGAGAAACACAATTATCTTACTTAACAGCAACATTATTAGTATTATTACTTAGACTGTGGTAAAAATATGAAGCTAAGGGCTCCATTTACTAGACTTTCAACAATGATTTGAATATGTAATTTTTATATTTACTTATAACAGGTCTTTTGTAAGTTACAAATTGTAACTCATATTTTTTTATCTGTCTTTTAACTCGAGTTTGAGCATGCGCTTTTTTTTTTTCAAAACCCGGATTATTTTCGTATTATGTAATTTGTTGGCAAGAGATTTCTTCCTGAACTCCATAATTTTCCTTTTGACATTCAATGATGGACAGCCCCATCATTTCCATTTCTCTTTCCAACCCTCTTCACAAGCACCCTTTAAAATATTAAGCCCCCCTCTCCCCCTTACACGGTCAATATTATTGAAGTAATATTTTTGAACGTTGTATACATAGTGCAAATGTCAATATAATTGTTACAATATATTCATCAGACGGTCAATATATTCGATATTGTCTCAATAATATTGACCGAGTGAGGTGGGCTTCAAGGAGCAACCCGATTAGAGCCATATCAACAGCATAACCAAGAAATTGACTCATTTTGCTAAAATTGTACCAGACTGATTAAGCTTGGTTCTTTTCATATGCAGCTTTAAAATCTATGAAAGGAGAACATATCTGTTTATTGAACCTTCGTTATTCTATTATTTGTCTTAAGGAAAAAATATATATCTGACCGATAGTTGACCTATTCCTTCTGAAGCCTTCCTGCTAAATCGATGTTCTACAAATTCTACAAGTCTATTATATGAAATACGAAAAATATTTTATAAGCAGTGTTCAGCAGGTCAATTCTTCGGTAATTATTGTAGTCTATGGAAGCATCTTTCTTTTTGAATATAAGAGGTATGATTGATTCCTTCCAGCCATTAGGCATTTCATTTGGGAGAGGGGAGGGACCTCCTATATATTAACGAATAAATGGATCAACTCCTCATATTGACCAGCTATTTTTTAAACATTCAGCTGGTATGCCTTTTGAACCAAAAACCTTGTTATTCTTGAAATATTTTATAATCATGCCAACTTCCTCCGTATTTGGTGGTCATTCTCACTATTACGAAAATCGGTATCACTACCACACACTAGCGGATCCAGGATTTAATTTTGGGGGGGCTTCAGCCCGAAAGCTTTTTTTTCATAAAAATGACGATAATTACTTTCGAAAAAAAGAAAGAAACTAACTATCTATATGAAATGGTGTTTAAGTGATTCCTTAAGCCCTTTTAAATGTAATTACACGAATAATAATACTTTAAGAGATAATTTTTTAATATATTTTTCCATAAAACATAGTTATATTTTACCATTTTTGGGGGGGGGGGGGCTTCAGGCCGAAAGCCTCCTCTCCCCCTGTAAATCCGCCCGTGCTACCACGTCAGTATATTATTCCTCATCTTCCCTAGATTTCAGTTATTCTTGAAAATTCTCCTCTCACTTACCTTGCACATCTCGAGTCTGAAAGAACATCTCACCATCAGAATACTTTATGGTTGGAAAGTTACTTATAAAGCTCGATGATATCCTGCTCTTATCGCCGAAAAACTTCTTGGCCTTATTGTTTCTGCTGTACTCTTCCAGCTTACCGAAGTAATGTATATATTTTCTTACATCTCAAAACCCTATTCTTTTTTTTATTAGATCTAGAATTATGGTTCTCCTTTCTGTTCTGACCAGTATCTCTAGAGGTTTTTTACTCTTTTCATTCCGCACTTCAACCGTTAAATCCCTTTGGATGTCTCGTACGGACCAATGCTTAACTCATCTCTTCTTTCAACCTTTCTCTATCAAAATGATTTGTAGTTTATTCATTATTTAATCTTTTGTTTATTGGCACAAGGCTTCCATTGAAGTCCTACTCTATCCAGTGTGAGATAATGATATAATTTTAGAAGCTTGTCTTTTTATCTAACGAGTTTAATGTAAACACTACAGATTTACATTGATCTTAACAAAACAAATTAACATTAGCAACACAATAGCAATCATTGTTCGAAATCAAAATTTTAGATATACCCAAACTTCCTATTACTAGTAAAGTTTGATGATCTTGAGGAAAATAGCGGCCAGTGTTAGATAAAGTAGATGGTTTTATTTTTAAAGCCCGAAAAATCTGAAAAAAAAATCTCAAATTAATGGTGTATAATGCTGTGATAAGCCATTTATGATATACGGTTGCGAGATCTGAACACTAGAAAAATCCTTCGCTTAATAACCGGAGATCGGAGTATTAAAGCATGGAGGAGAAGTGTCAGTAAAGAATTGCCTACATAAACTCGTCTATCAATATCTCATGATATGAAGGCAAGGAGGTTAAGATGAGCGGGCCATGTAGCTCCGAGTAACCTATCAGGAAGCCTTTATATACCAACACGGGCGGATCTACGGGGGGAGGAGGGCTTTCGGACTGAAGCCTCCCCCCCAAAAAAAATGGAAAAATATAACCATGTTTTATGGGGGAAAAAATTTAAAAATACCTCTTAAAGTATTATTGTTCGTGTAATTACATTTAAGAGGACTTAAGTAATCACTTAAACACCATTTCATATAGGTATTTAGTTTCTTTCTGTTTTTCCAAATTCATTATCGTTATTATTATGAAAAATAAAAGGTTTCAGGCTGTAGCCCTCCCCTCCTCCCCAAAAATTAAATCCTGGATCCGCTAGTTTACACCAATGAATCTCTCAATAATAGACAAAAGATCACATAGAAGGTAAAAACCCAGATGGATAGAAGGAATCAAGAAAGAAGCAATAGAGCAGCATGCAGATAACTGGAACTGCATGCAGAAACACCCCAAAATAGGTAGAGATGGAGAAGTCTAAGTATATGTATCTGTTGGGTTTGTATAAACTTTACTCAAGGGAAGATTTTTATTAATAAGTTAGCATTATTGTTTTATTAAACTTAAAAATATACAGATCAAATAACAATATTTGAAAAATAATACAAATTAGGAACTAACACTAAAAGATATTATTGAATGAAACTTTGGATATGGCTGTTGACATTAGTAATGGATTTTTTTTTCATATACATTTCTTTTCTTTTTTTTAAGAATAAAACAAAATTTATCCTAAGTTTTTAATAGTTTACTAAACAACTTTCTCTATGCTTCAATTTTAAATGTACAGAATGCAGTAGCTGATTACCTGAGGTCGAAAGATTGATTTATCTTTGGAACTCAGGTAATCAGCTACAGCAGCCCATGACAATTAGCTCCCTTCCGTAGTTAGCTGATATCAATTGACCAATTTCATAAGAATGCAGCTTACATCTGAAGACCATTCTGATACACCATCGTTCCAAATATAGGCTATGTCAAGACAGCCTTCCTGAAACAAGAATTATCGTGATTTTTCGTTTACTTATTTTAATTATTTGATGTTGTACAACTAAAGAAATAAGCGGAGTATATCTTACTTTGTACTACTCTAGCATTAGTGAGAGGGTCGAGATTTATACCATGGATCCACAATGGAACAGAAGTCGATCCTCTTAAGTAGTATTTGAAATGGTGCAGACCTCCACCATAACCTATTGTACAATTTTTATTGACGAAAACTAATAATGTAACACTCTAAAATATTGGATTTTATCCTCCCAATAACTGTATTATTTTAACGTGTTTCTAAAATATGTCTATTTCTCACCCAGAGTAAATCGTTCATTTGTCGGTCAGTACATTTTTTATTGTGAATTTTGTTAGTTTTTATAAAATATATATTTTGTTTATAAATTTGGCCAGTTAAAAAATTTATTGGTTAAGTTTGGATAATATGGCGAACATTTAAAAAGTATAAAGTCTGCACCAGATATGTTTTTAAATACAAAATTGTACATCTGTTCAACCATCGCTGAGAAGGAAACTGTGGTGGTGACCAATCTTGACCTCTAAAAATAACCAAATCATATTATAATGCAACTATATTTTTTGTGGCATAATATAGCAGTATTAGATAAAGAACATCTGATCAGTTAATTTTTGAAATCCTGGCCTTCTTTATTATGGTTAAAATAGGTTTGGTTGTCTAGAACACCTCCTCTCCCTCCTCTGTATGCTATAAATGGTAAGGTAGAGTGTAATAAAAAAGGTGATTTCCCGTTTATGTGCCTCTACAAGCTATGCTAGCATTAGTTCTTCTCATCAGTTGCGTTATTAACAATATTTATAGTGATAAAATATCATTATTATTACAGCACTTGCAATATACTCTAGAAACAAGTGTTTGATATAGTCGCTACAACTTATTAATTGAGCCATTTAAATGACTTTATTAAGTTAATGGTCAAAACGCTTACATGATATTTATATTGTTTTAATTTAAAACATATAATTAAGTATTTATAATTTTAATTTTATTACTGCAACCACTTTTCCTATTGACTGTTTTCTATATAGTGAAGATTTTACTGGGTTTTTAATAAGATATATTTCTATATGTACATTTCATGGTTAGCTTTCTAGTTCATTGATGGTTTTAACGCGTAAATATAAATTGTTAGCATATTAAACAGTGTTATTATTTTTCGATCAGCAAAGATATCAGTAAATTTCCTCTGAAAATCAGGGTTTATTTCAATTTTCCACTACATAATGCTATATATAGTGCCACAGAATGAAATTTGAACTTCATATAATTTTAAAATAAACATTCTGGCGTATTTTTTTAAAATTTTAATATTACTATGAAGAAAGACTGGAATTTATCACTAAATCTACTTTTATCTACAGATCTTCTCTATTTCTTAATACTTTTAACCAAGTTATTGACTGACAGATTTTTAAATTTAATTTGAAGTATCCAATTATTGAGCATAATGATTGTATTGGATCTAAATAAAGGTTTTTATAAATGCATATATAATTAATAAATAGTTGAATATGCACTTACCTCCAAGGAACTGAATAGTTTCTGACCAGAGTCAGTAATATAAAAGAATTTATTAGCAGGACCACTGATAAATTATAGTTCAATCTGAACATCTTATCTTTACACTTTATCATCGAGATTCTTTTTTTTTTTTCTTTTTTATTTCAGATTAGATTAATAGTATGTATGACACAGAATAAAGACCACCCTACATACAGGAATAATCACTGTACGATTCCTTAAACTCTTATGTGATTTATTTTTAAGTAAATTATAGTGAAATATTGGGAAAGGACGGAAGAAACTACCTTACCTTTCTGGTGCAAGCAGACATAATAGGTGCCATATTTTAACACGCTCTTTTTTAATTGGCTTCACTCCAGTTTTTATCTTGAAACTTGTGTGTAATTGAATTAATTGAGGAGTTCTATCATGCCAAAAATTAAATTGGATTAAAAAAAAAAAGACTTGCGATTAAATTCAAAAGGTATAAATTAAATTGTAATGAATTAACAATTGTCATTTTATCACCATTCCATTAGTTGGAAATATCAAACAAAGCCTGGAGGAAAATTTTTCCTTTACGTTCCATGTATTTCATTCCGATTGGGAAATTTCGTGATTTGTTCAATGGACTGTCCTGAAGAAACAAATTATATCTACATGTTATATCCTATTTCACCTATATAAATTGTAAAACTATCTTTGAATATTGAACTTATAAACCTGTGTCAGAATGCCAGCCCAAGGAATTCCAAGCTCTTCCAATTTATTCTTTGTCTTTGGTAGTGATAATCTGGCTGTATTTCTTTCAGAAGCATTGGTTTAAAAACATTTACGTTTCCATACCTACATAAAAAATTAGTATAAAATTGTAATTTTGATTAGATAAAAAAGTAAAAATTCTGTTGTCTGATTGGATAACTTCTTCGCACACATTTTAACGGCTTTATCTTGATTTCAATAAAGACAAAAATAGGAAATGAACATTTTTCAGCTTTACTTATTTGCATTTTTCAATTAGCCCATCAAGAAAAGGTAATATTTTCATAGTATACTGTAAAAATTATTTAAAAATCTGCAGTAATAATTCTTTTGAAGTCGTCATATTTGAAGATGTTGAAGGTTTATTGATTAAAACCTTATGTTCTAATTTTTCTCATAGTTTTAATTAAAGAGGTGTAAGATGTTACCATTTTTACTTCATCTTGGCTGATATCAATCCCTACAGATGAATGAAGGACTACCTGCACAACAGTTTCATACAGCATTATAAGTTGAGAGGGCATTGAAAAAAAAAAGTTATGAAAAATCTTGTCATTTGTTTGGGATTCCTGAGAAGGGAAATATTCTTCACAACCCCATTTTTTTTTAATTTCCAGATATTTCAGCTGTCAACCCATCATCCATCGGTTGATTCTAGAATGGACCCAATGAAACTAATTATAAAATGAAACACCCTAAATATTCCTATAAAAATTAAAGTTATTAACTAATAAAATTACAAGAGTAATTATCTAATGAGTTTACAAAATTACAAAGTATCTGTACTAACTTTTGTAATTTCATCTGGTAGTATTTCATCAGATATTATTTTCAAGATATTATTTCTCAGATAACTAATTTTCTAAAATGAAAAATAATTCATTAAATGAAATATTACTTAATGAATTTTTGCAATAAACTATGATTTATTTTTAAACATGATTAAAAAATATTTTTGATTTGTTTATTATTATGCTAATTTTAAAAAAATAAATAAAAAATAAAAATAAAAATAATAAATAAAAGACCAAACTGAATATTTTTGGTTTTATGATGTCCTATATAAACATGTGCATTTTTTCAATTTTGTTTTTAAACATATCTTTATTTATTTTACCAGAGCTAAATAAAAAAATAATATCTGAGATTTTTTTTTTTTTTTTATAAAATATTTTTCAATAGGCTCTTAAATGCAACAGAGCAGTGATAAGAGTGCTTGAAAATAATTAGAAAATGCTTTTATATATAATTGTATTTGATCCATAAGTGCTGAAATTATTTTTTTTTCTAAAGTTTTGCAGTTTAATCATCAACTTTAGATATGGCTTATTTTTACTGCAGACAGGGAAGTTGTGAGAGAAGAGTCTCAGCTCTCTCCATTAATTTGGAAATCCAAAAAGTTGGAAATTTGAGATCAGAGAATTTATTTCAAATAGAGAGCAAGGTGAAACAAGTTTATTCAAAGAGATACTCACATTTAAAACCAATAACTTTTACATGAAGAAATTGATATCTTTATTTGATAAAAAAGGAATTAATTGTTAGAAAATACCAAAATTCAAAACAGGTAAGTGAAAAGTTCAAATCCAAATGAATAGGGAAAATCAAAATATTTTGTTAAATATATCAAAATTTGTTTGATTAAAGTTCACAGAAATATTGTCCCAGCTATTAAAATTATGAGAAATTTTGTTACTATTAATAAAATTACTTCACTTGTTGAAATAGTTTTCAAATTTTGTTTCAGGTATTGAAATTATAGTGATTTTTTCCCATTCATTAAAATTTATTGGAATTATATTAACTATATATAAATACTATAAAATAAATTATATATAAATAAATAAATAAATTGTTGTGATGTCCAGAATTTAGGTTAGGTTAGATTGGACCTGAGCAATCATATGAACCAGTTTTTTGGCAATGCCTCAATATTATATATGTTTTAATCCATATAAAATAATTTTAACAATGTTTTTATATTTCCATTTGAGGACGAGATGGCCTTGCACGTCAGGGCATGGATCTCTGACTGCCCTGTTTTGAACATTGTAGGTTTGACTCCCTTTTCAGTCAGTTAGTTTTCATTTCTCAGCATCTCCGAGAAATGAATTTTGACATTCCCACTCTGATAAGTATACTGTGATAACCCCAAGGCAGCTGTTATGATTGGAAAAAAAGGACCATATTGGCCCACTGGCCAGACTAGTTCTCACCACCAGTACCAGTACCATCTATATTTTCATCTGTCTGTGTTGAATGTGCAATATGAACTCAATCTCAATTGATTTAAAATGGAAGACTGTCAACCAATAATTTTTGTTATTATTTCTCTTCCAACTTGCCAGAGGTCACAATTTAAAAATATGATGTAAATGTTATATTGATTGTCTACTTATTAAATTTTGTTGTCAAGAACATTTGTATAGATTAATAAATATAACTATAATAATGATTTGGATTTAGAAATACATTGTTTCAGAAATGCCAAGACTAAGTCAGAAGTAACAATTTTAATAAGTTCTATCAATGATATAGTTTTGAATTATCAAAATAGCGACATCAGTTTTGAATTATCGGGCTACTGAAGTATACAAAAACATTTTAAAGTAAATCTGATGAATTTCCACAAGTAATTGTTCTCGATAGTTGAAACCTAAAGAATTACAAGTCCTCCTTAAATATCCAAAAACCATCATAGTGCCACATGGTGAAGTGTCTTAGAGCCATTGCTAGGCTGTTGTAAAGATTGTGAATTATATCTATATTATAATTGTAAGAAATGTAAGTGTAATTTAAAAACATTTTTGGTGAGTTCAAGTAAACCTCTTTTGAGTCCATAGACGGATTCAATGGGGGCTTTTAGTCAGAATCCCCCTATACTTCTAAAAAAATTATTGTTTCAATAATTATCATTATTGAACAAATAAAAGTATAAAAGCTTTAGCCCTCTTCCCTGAAATTTTAATTTAGCATCCGGTACTGATTGGGTCCCAATATCCCCATTGTAATTTTGATGCTTAATTTGTTTTATTGCTAGCTCATTTACAGTCATTAATTGGTGCACTAACCCACAGACCAAAAAGGAATCAATAAGTAAAGATTAAAGTTTGGGAATGAAATCAGTGTTTTCACAAATATATCTATTTATGATACATTTATATGATATTTGTTCTGATGTTTAAAGTAAAAACTACCTATTGAGAAAAAAAAAATTATATATCAACAACTAACAACTTCTCTTTAGGATTCATGAAAAATGATAATATTCATTTTTAACAAAATGCAGCTCAGGCAATTTAACGATTTTTCATGGAAGGAAATCCTGGACTATCTATTGCAGTAAATCACCAACAGTCAATAAAAAATTTCCATAATTTAGTAAGATCATACATCACTTTAGCAGGATATAAAATATATATATGTCTATATATATATATATATATATATATATATATCGAGGATCTCTAGGCGAAACTAAAACTTTTGATAAATTGCTTTGTATGATTCATCCTTGGAATCCCAAGGGACACCTCTGTTTCCCGTTATTATGCAGGGTTGGCTTCATCCCTCCTTTTTAAGTATTTCTTGGCATCCTTCCTCTTTCATGTAATCCAATCCCACCATCCTTCATACATCTCCAAGCTCCTTTAATTTAAATCCTCCCACAATGTTTGCTCCCACAATACTCGTTCCTGGTCTTCTGATTTATACACAAGGACCCACCGCTGCTTATGAATCCCTGCTTTCGACAGATTGTTCATTATTCGATCCTCATCCCTATGGAACTCCATCCCTTCCCACATGTGTCAATTTCTAAACCCTTTGTACCTTCAAATCCCGCCTGTTCAATCATTTCTTATCCATCCAGTTCCCCTAAAATTGTAAATAGAAACTACTGTAAATATGTATATAAATTATTAGATCGTTCTTCATTATTTTTACTTCTTGTTTTTTCAATTTTTTATCTTTTATTATTAACTAATTAAAGTTATAAAGTAACTTATATATACATAAGTTACTTATATATATATTATAAAATATATATACATATATATATTTTTTTGTTATGACTATTTAATTACTCTGTATTTTGTTTATATATCTCTGAGGCTCCTTAGCCCAAATTTCTGTCTGCCTCTATTATTCTGAAAGGACTCGTACCAGCATAAATAAAGTATTATTATTATTTTATATATTTGGTTTGTTTGTTTTTCAATTAAACATGGGCTTTCTAACTGTTATATGATGTTAAACTTATATTTACAAATAAATTTTAATCTGTACCTACTAATTAAAAATACAGACACCCTTAAACATGGTTGTAAAATAATTATTGTAAAGAATTGATATGATTTTATTATGTACTATTGGTGTGTAACTGACGTTATATAAGTATTTTGTATATTTAATTAGTTGTTGGTACCTGTAAAATATTTTTTTCTACTAATGTATGCATGATATACAACAGTATATAACATATTATTATTTATATATGAAATATATAAAAAATATTAAGACAATATATGTCTTGATTCAATATATCAATAAAGGTAGTCTGAAATTTTATTTTGATAAAGGAATCCCATGATAAATAATATTGACACTATTCCATCCCATCCTGTAACAAATTTAGATTGATGTAATAACAAAAGCATGAATTTCTTTTTATGAATAAAGTTCTTAAGGGGTTATATTTTTCTTTTAATATTAAGAACTCATGATACCAGTAATATACCAATATCAAAAACTAAGCGGTGGTACAGGGCTCAAGATAACAAAGGACATTAAAATGACACAAACCTTTATACATATCAAAAATCGTTACATTAAGGACAGAATGTTCTTACTTCACAAAGAAAACAATCCAACAAAATACTATTGATTAATGGTATAAATATTCATCATTGTACTAGTGATTTAAGTTTATGAAATATCACTTAACGACTTTCTGTAATAACCCTATGATATGCTTTTAAATTTGTATTTATTTATTTATTTTTACAGACATATAACTTACCACTTACCCAGGATATTACTTTGGTGATGGCCAATAATTCTACAAATTTACAAATTTTGAAGCTTAATTTTTAAACACATACATAAAATAAAGCAAGATCATTTTCCAAAAAGTTTCGATTTCTTTACAAAATTAGTGGTTTATTTATATATAACTCTTGCACAAATAAGATATTCATTTTCTGAAGTAAATAAAATAAAAAAAATTGACAAGAGTGTCTGAGACCTCTGACTAAATTTATTAGTTAATTATTAACTAATAATTATTAAATGAATGAAAGAAATAATAAAAATAAAATAAATAAATAAAAAATAAATAAATAAAAATATAGGATAAAAAATTATAATAAAAAAAAAAAAATATATATATATATAGATTAAAAAAAAAAAATTGTATACTATGCTCATACATATTGTTAATACTATATAATTGTATATTAGTTTTGGAAAATTGTCTGTAGCGATTAATAAGTATGCTGTATTTAAAGCAACCCAATGTAATTGGGCAGCACCCTTTTATGATAATAAAAATGATTCTCGCTGTTAGTTAAAATTTTCTGAAAATATTTTTAATAATAAAACAAAAACTGTATTGTTTGTTTTTCATCTTACTATTTATTAAAAGTTATATGTTGTTATTTATTTAAATTTAATTATTTTCCCCTTTAATTCTGTAGTTGTTTATAGATATGGATCTCCAATTTTTTATCACAATGGTGGTATTGTGGTTACAAAATACATTTAAAGATAGATTACGATTCTAATTGTTCAACTTACTTAATTTTATAATACTTAAATACTTTTAAAGTAATTAAATATAGTCCAATAAATATTAAATAGAAAATAAATTATTTTCAATTGTGTACAGTTGTAATATTAGGAAGGCGGTGGTTCTGGAACCAGCTGTCAAAAGTCTCGTTTTCATGGCCGAAATCTCGTATCTTGCGAGACTTCAGTTGAAGTAACGATTTTGCCCGTGGCTCTAGTGTTGTGTGGCAGTAGTTCTTGTTGTGTGTGTCTCCAATACTGATCGCGTATTGTTATCTCCTTTTCAGCAGTTTTGGTAAGTTTCTTATGCTTACAACTTTTATTTTTAGAATTAGACCATGTTAATCATTATGTGACGTTAAAACATGGAGGATTCCTTAATGCCAAACAATTAGCAAGATCATAGATTTTTTTTTGTTCAAACTTGCCTTTTCTTTTAAACTGGACGAACGATATGGTTGTTGTGAAATGGTTATTTTTGTTATCACTTTTAGGTAGGATAAGAAGCAATGTTTTATGTCAGCTGTTTATTACTCCTGGTTTTAACCTCTCTTTATCTGTTACCCATTATTACGATTTTTGGCCATTTTCCAATTATTAAACGGTTATTTTATTTGACAGCATCACTAAATAAAGTTTTATTTTATCACTTTCGTGTGCGAATAATTTATATCCGTACAATTTTGATTTATTGGCACTGTCTGCTTGCATTTCTTAAGTTATAGGTACTATTGCATTATTTTTATTTTCAATGGCCATGTTAAAATAGTTTTTGCAAATTATTTTCGTTTGATTAGGCGTTTTTCATATTTGTGTTGGTTATTGATTAGTTAGATTTCTACCAACTTTTTTGTTAATTTTATTATTTCTCTTTGGTTTATCTGTCATTGTTATTAGATAAGAGAAGAGTTCTGCTGGTAAAGTTCCTTGTATACTTGTATAGTTTACATGCATATTTTTTAATTTTCAATTCTAAATTTTATTGATTTATTTTAACAATTATCTCTAGAATAATTATTGGATGTGGTTAAATTTCTCATTGAAGCCTCATATGTTGTTACTTGAACTTCAAGGGCACTGATCAATAAAAAGTGTTTCTCCATTTCTCATTCTTAAAATCAGTTGCCTCCCCATTCAAAAGAATATTGGTTTTTCTAGTCCTCAACATTTTTATTAATTAATTTGTTTATTCAGATATTCTTATTTCTTACTATCCTCGTTTGTGTCTGATTCCTATTATTTCTATTTTCCTTATTATCATATTGTGCTGTTAAGGATTTGTAATAATTTACATCCAATATCACTATTTAACATGTACTTTTTTCTTTCAAGTTTTCAAATTGAACCTTTAAATTTTAAGTAAAACTTATTCATAACCTGTTTTAATTGATGTGAGCATATTCCTCTTTACGTTAGTTTTTTACATTATCTTGTATTTTCTAACTTGTTTCAATGTTTTGTTAGATTTTGTTTGTTGTCTCAGTGGTTTATTGTTTAACATGAAGTTAGAATTGTTCCAATGCATCAATTTTTTTAGTACTCAAGTGATTCATTAGTTTTATTTATAGTTTTGAAATTGGCAACACAGATCCTCCTTGCCAATATACTGAAATATATTTTACCGTTGCTTGCATAATCATAATACGGTCTGAAAATAAAATTAGTTATATTTGATGATGTGTTATAAATAATATCTGTTTCTTGAATATGGTTATTGAACTTAATTATAACAATTTTTGGAGGTCTGGCAAAGGAGCTGAATCTTGTGTAGCATTACAATCAGATAAAGGTATATCTGTATTATTATTCTTCAATATTTAGTGTTTGTCTAAATTATATTATTTCAATTGCTGTTTATATTCATACCAAACATGAAGTCTTAGATTTAATGTTTCACTTGAAACAAATCTATTGAAATAAATTTATAGAAAAAAGTAGAACAAATTTATACTTTATATTTAATTGATAAGATATAATGTATAGTGAAGTTCTTATCGAATCTTTTCCAGCCAATCAATGGCTTTGAATAAATCTATTATTTCCTAGCAATCTTTTTTTAATAATTTTAAACACCTTTTTGTTTGCCTTAATCATTTACAGCAGTATATTTATGTAATTTTCCTTTTTTTTGTTTTGTAAATACTAACTATTTGTATAATACTATTAATGCTTCAATAACTGATTTTTCAGTTTAAATTTATTTGTAAATACTTGTAAGTGGTAGTGTATAGATTTTTTCTTTGCCTTTTTGGGGAGAGAGGGAAGGGTTGATGTCTGCTTTTGATTATAGGCAGTATATGTCTTAGTATTATTGTTATTATCATATGTAGGAGTGAAGTGGAACTATTTTTACTGCATGAGGTTTTTTTTTTTTTTTTAAAGAATATCTTTCACAATAAAGTTAATAGTAAGCTTAAATTAATGTTTTGTATTCACTTTCACTGAAGCTTAGCCCTTTAAAACTTATACGTTCAGCATAATATAGTGATTCATCTATACCATACTGTCTGTAAGTTTCATTCATAGCCGTTATATGTTTAATATCAAGTAAAATATTTGAAGAAAGTCATTTTTTTAAAGTCTATTGATTTGTTTATAAAACTTTTCATTTTACCGTTCTGGACACTTGGGGCTTTTTATTGGACTTTATCATAATTTATTTGCAATTAAACGGCTCTTTATGAGCTATTTGTTTTAATATATAAAGCTGTACTGTTTATTTAAAAAAACTATTTATTTACTGTTTTACTACTGCCATTTATTACTCATTTTAAGCCAGTTCTGACCTTGTTTATTTGATTGGTCAGCACTATGCTATACAGTTATAACTTATGTTAAATGCTATAAAAACATAAGTTAGATACATACAATGCCCTTTTGAATTATCTATGCAATTCTCTGATATATCAGTAACTTTTCTGAAATGAAATATAATTCTAATTTAATGACTGGTAAAATGAAGCATTTAATTATTATTTACTACGATTTTTTGTCACTTGAGATATTCAAACCTTGAAGTCATGGTCAATTAAATGAAAACAATGTCATTCCATAGTCAGTCAAATACATAATTCTAATTAATAGTTTCAAATTGACAGTCAAGTTTTTGCTTTGGCCCATTTAAGACCCCTTATTCCAAGTATTTTAGTCATTGTAATTCGAGAAATTGATTTGAAGTTGTCCTTGCTCCATTAAAAAAAAATTGTATGAACTCATTTATGTTATGTACGTCACCGGTTATACAGTATGTTTCAAGCGTAGGCATCTTAATCAGTGTATCCCTACTAAATGTTCTTGTATTCTACTTGATAAATAAAAATTGGAAAACACTAAATTGATTTTTTCATTTTTTTTTTTTTACTGCTTATTTGCCACCAAGCAAAAAATTTTGTATTAAAAACACATTCTATGTAATAATCAATCTTTGGTACATCGAATTGGATATGTTTCAATGCCTCATTTATTGACAATTCATTCATTACATTAAACCACCTCAAAGGCTCCTCACCTTTTTAAAGCCATCATTTACTTGAGAAAACATGGAGAAAAAAAATTATAAATTACTTATGATAAGATATTTCAATACTTCTTTTATTGATTACACTTTTTTTTCTATTATAACCGACTCAGATTAAAGAAATTATTTTTTTAAATGATTGGAAATATTTAAGCACAAACAGAAATTCTATAAAATAATTGTAGGTCTTTAGCCAATAATTATTAAATCTATAGTTTTGAAGGAGACCACCACCACTTAAAAATGAACTTATAATATGGTATAATAGAATGTTTACACTTAACAACAATAATTTTCTTTACTATTCAAATTCAATATCAATAAAATTCCAATTCTTATCTTGAAATGTATTAATGATTGTCTTTGACTGCAACAGCCAACCATTATATATTGGTTTTATATTGTAGTAACTCTTTGAGTTAAATATTTTACAATTTTTGAGGTTTGAATATGTGATATTTGATACCGAGATGACATCCTTCTATCGCATACCAGAACAATACACCTGAGTACATTTCAGAAATTAATAATTATTCACTTTTGTGTAATCTTATTCAACAAGATAATTGATTATGGAGAAGCCAAATTTTGTTAAACTTTTCACTCAGTCTTCCGAACCAGTGATCTATGTTTAACCAGGCATGTGCTTACATGCCTTTGTATTTGTAGTTCTAAATGTCAGTTGTTATAGCTAACTTTGAATGCACTTAATAGATTAGCTCATATATAATTATATCGATAACTAAATATTACAGCAAATTTAAAAATACCTAAATATTTTAAGATTAATTAACTATTCCCTATTTTTCATCTCGGTTAATCACATACACATACAACCATCGTAGAAAACATAATAATCGATTAATTACCCAGAAAAGTTCTCATCCTTTTTCAGGTCGAGATAGAACTAGGCTGTTATTCAGGTCTTTACTTGTCGTTGAAGACAAGATTACTTATTATCATAATCCAGACCTCTCTTCTTCTGAGCACTGTAGGATTCCTTTGTATAGAGCTGCTTCCAGGTGGTTTTGTCCCCTGTCAACTCATTTATTTTATTCCAGTTGATGTCTTGTCTCTTGAAGACCTATCTCACTCCTTCCTCCTGAGTCTGTCTTGGTCTCCCTCATTGTCTTCTACCGACGGACTGGCTAGTTTGGCCACCCTGTTATCTGCCTTAACATAGTCATACCATCTAAATCCAACCTCTTCTATAATATAATCCAATGGATGCACGTCCATTTTGCTCCTTATTGCTGTGTTTTTAAACTGTCTCTCCTAGGATATTGTTTCTTTTCTTGTTTTTGAATCTCAAAGCCCATAATTTTGATTACTACATTAGTAATGGAAGAAAACATAAATAACAGAGATGTTTGTGCTTTTGGTGATTTCTCTTCTGTTCAGAAATATTCCCTTTATGGCACTGAAATGTCTTCTTGCTGCACCAACTCTTTCTATCACCTCCGCATCATTATGACCATTTTCATAAAGACCTACCCCTAGATACTAATAGTTGTCCACATGTTCCAAACTACAATTGTTTAACTTTATCACTTGAATGATTCTTTGGAATCTTTTCCCAGTCCTCATGTTCTTGGTTTTTTCTGGATTTACAACCATGTCAGTTATTGCTTCGCTCCTCCTCTAGGATTACATTATATTGCCGATCGACATCGCTAGAATTACAATATCGTTAGCGCATGCAAGTAGATAATGTAAGTAGTTATATCGTTGGTGAGTTGTCGACGTGTTACCGATTTCTGTTAGTAATGGAAATAGAT